ACCCGGATATAATCGACGATAAACGCCGAGCACTGCCACTCCATGTGATCGGAATCTTCGAGTGATTGGTTCGCGTATTCATTTCCCCCGATATTTAACGCGATAGAAATATAAACAGGGTTACTTGAGAAGTCGCGCGCATATGCTCCGGTTAATGACATTTGGTTGTGTCCATCAAAATACCAATGAATGTCGTGTCTATTAAATTGGAGACCGTACGTGTGAAAATTGGTCAAGTCACTTTCGGCGATTAATGCGTCGGTATCTGGATACGTTTCGTTCAACAGGTCCGGTGTATTATAACTAGGTCGATGGATAAATATAGATTGTAGTAAGAGTGGAAGTACTAAGGTGATTTACATTGAACAATCACAAGCTTTATATTATATTTTTAATCTAGCACATTATTAGTTAATATATATGGTTTTAATAGGTCAGTGTTAAGAACGTTTTAGTATATGTATTAAACAAAATACTAATAAATATTGTTCTTTAAGCATTAATTTATTTGTGTAATAATTACGCATACCTATACCTAAAATTGTTTTAAACCTATACCTAAAATAGATAGTCTTTAATGTTCAAAGAATGTACAGTACAGAACCAAAAGTGATTATAATATCAGGATCGTAAATGGTTTAGGCATATACGATATTACTCCATATGTCTACTCATACCTATTTTGGAAACGACGGTTCGCATCATTGTTGCCTATCAGATACACAGTTAATGTACCAATGGATATTTTGATTTCCGGTGATAGCATTTTGCCCCGGGGTAATGCAGCCCTTGTTTCCATGTATCCAAATTTAAAGCTTTTATGTGGAGGACTTTCCACTACTTTGGCCGACGTATACCAATGCGTGACATTGTTATGGCGGTACGAATCGCTCTCTCGACGGGCAGTTAGCGCTAGGCAGCCTTCCCTTAACTGTATGTTCCGCTCGGATTCCGTGTATATACAGTTCACGCGCCGCTCAGTTGTTACTGTAATATTAAAATTAAAGTTATGAAAGCGAAATAATATCTAACACAAAAATGTTTGTCCCATATTGAAAACGCACTTTCCCTTATTTGAAAATACGAATATCCTGTATATTTATACAGTATTACGAATATTAATTAATCATATACTATTGTCATTTATTTTAAATTTATATATACAGTATATATTATATTATAATAATGTACTGAAGGAATATCTCATTTAACGTTACCTAAATGCGTGTACGTACGTGTGAATGTCGCAGTTTATATTACAACATGTTAGTTATTTTAATCACTAACTTCTTTTTCTCAAATTTTGTTTAAAAAGCATTTTTAATGAATCGAATGTCGAAAATAATAATTTTATGTTCAATATTTTAAATCTTATCGATGAAAATATATTTTAAAACAAACACGATGTCGAGGTATTAATTAAAGTTAATATTTTTTAATGATATTTTATACATAATACAAGCTTATCATATAATAGTGAAATAATAAAAAATTACTTTCGTAACTATAATATTTAAAAAGTTA